CTTTGTCTGTGACCAGTGCCAGCTGGCACTCTGACAAAACGTCCTTCCACAGTTCTGAGGATAACAAATCCTATGGAAGTAATTCTGAGCGTAACAAATTCTATGGGTATGGTTCTGAGGATAACAACTGCTAAACACGCAGTATGGGCAAGACTGTGTCAAGCTTGGTTCCCTCCATCCTTTTCCTTTTAAGACTCTCCCAGGAGTCTCTACACCCTCAAACTCACACATCTCTATATCCATACAAGACAAAATCTCAGGCTGTTCCTATCTTACTAAATTAGACATTTGGGGGACCTTTCTGTAAAAATACCTTTTTTTATATGGATGAATATTTAGAATTATCTTCATTATTTTAGACTAGACCACCCTTCTCTCTCCAAACTGTTCCAGAAATGTCCATAGGGAACCAGTGCAACCTAGGTACCATTCACAATAGGCAATTTTGTTGTAGACTTCTTATTTTGTAGACTAAAAGCATTTAGTAGCATTCATGGAGAACAACATTCCGTGCTAGGTGGTGCCAGAGAATGGTCCTGAATGTGTTTGACTTACTACTGTAGAGTCACAGTTTCATAGTTAAAAAAAAAAAAAAAAAGAAATGAAAAAGACTGCTAGTGGGCTGCAATGCAACGCTCACCAAAATAGAAACAATTAGAAGTAAAAACAAAGAAACACAAGAAAGGCATTCTTTTTACTCAAAGCCAGCTGCTATGTGGTGTGAACACAGAGGGACTATGACTGTACCCAGTGCCATAAAACACTCTCTGTCCCTGTTGTCTCCAATATATGTAGAAATGCAGGTGTGGTTTTAAGGGCCTTTGCAATAGACTCTGAATACTAAAATCTTTTGACTCTGCAGGGTAGTGTTAGAAGCTTATGTCTCCAGATGAAAGAAAGGGAGAGAGAAAAATATGACATCCAAACTGGTCAATCCTTACCATAGATCTTAAGTTGGTTAGAGAGGAGGCTCTCAAGAACTGTGCCACCTGTATCTCGTTTTCCCTTCCTAAATAGTTTACCATTACATTCTTAAATTATCCCTTTATGCAGAAAAAAAGGGGACAGACTATAACATACTGGGTTTAGTCTGTAGGCAGAAAGTATTTCTGCTACATGATACACTGTCCACTAATAGATTTTGCAAAACACTAATACAGTTGAACTTTGAAGTTTGCTAAAATGAACAGTGAACATGCAACAGCTTTACAGCTCTTGTCTTGCTATTACCAAGGATTAGTTTAGACTCATTCATGCAATCCAGTATCCAAAACATGACAAAAATTCATAGGTCTGAGAATTTTGGATCCTTGATGCTGCTGGCTGTGGTAACCCCAGCTAACTATCTTCCAACTCCAGTCATTATGTTCTGTTTTTCCCTAAAGCTGGACAGGTAGATTTTTCATGAAGGCTCAGCACTAATACTTAGTTGTCAGATCAAATAAAATTCATTCTAATTATGTTGAACAGAAATACAGATGCTGTGGAAATTCCCAGGTGGACTTTATAATAGGAGTGGGCTGACACAAAAACATACAGGAGTGTTAAACAGTATTATTTACATACATTTTAGGATTCAGGATCACTATTACCCTTAAATTCTATGAGAGGGTCTGAATCCTGGATTTCCCCAGATATCCACCCCACTCTCCCCTTTTTATGAGGCATTCATTGGATCTACTCTGGTAATAAAATTTATGCCAAATAATTCAGAGAAGTGCTTCCCAGGATGCAAGCTATCTCTGGCTCTTTTTGTGCTCCACCCATGAGGGAGAGCCAGGATACACAAGGCAAGTGTGAATGCCAGAGTATCTTCTTTTCTTTCCAAAAAGCAGTAGACTTTCACCAGCAATAATGCCAAATTGATCAGTAGTTTCTGGAGCTGCATTCTTTCAGAATCTCATCTGCAATAGCTGTTCATTGTGGCAACGTTACAAACTCACACAAAAGTTTAAAATTGTTCTCTTACTAACCTGAAGACATCTCTTGAAGACAAAGGTGGGAAAAAAAAATGTACCTGCAGGGAAAAATCCTTTCCCGTTCCTAAATTTGGCAACCGATCATACCTATAACATCTTGAATACACAGCGTGTTTCCACTATAGGGCTGGGAGGGCATCCCCCCATCTGTTCTTTTTGCTTAGCTATTTCGTACAATATGTGAGAGACAGCGTTTTTATCTGTGACAATATAGAAAATCTCCAAGGCAAATTATTATTACTATCGTTAGTCATACAATTGACCACAAATCTTCATGAGAATATTTGTGCTTGAGCTAGAGTTTAGCTAAAACCCTGTCAAAAATTTAGAAAATTCACTCTGAATCCTCTTCTGAGACTAGAGTGTTTTCCAAACACACACTTGGCGTCTCTTGTGAGTGGGGGGAGAAATATGGAAGGGGTGTCAGTTCAGACTGACCTCCCTTAGGGTGTGAGGCACAAGAGTTGTGGAACCTGCAGGACAAATCACCGGGTGCATGTCTGTGGCCAGGTGGCCAACTCAGGTGCTTCTGGAGGGGGTGTGGCATTCATGGGCAGATCTCCAACTACACCTAAAGAAGGTGTGGTTTCGAAGGGCAGCATGACAAGCTCATCTTCCATCCTGCTCAGGTCCTGATGCTACTACAGTCATCCTGTAGTCAAGATTTCCAGCTCTGTATTGATAAAATTTATGTATGGCTAGGTTTGATAAAGCTGTGTTTTCCACGTTGCACAGATTAAACCCCAAAAATAATTTCTGTGTTATTTTCTAATAAAAGAGAGGGGGTTATGCAACGCAGCATATTGGGATAAGATGGCGCTTTCTAACAAGGAACTTTAAAGATGTCTAGAAAAAAAGAGTTAAAGTTGGAAATTTAAGTTACTGTACCTTCAGTTCAGATCATTCTTTATAAGCAGTGGGGAGGGGTGGGTGGCAGTGGGTAGGAATTATGGAATGGAAGCCAGGAAAGCACAAAGCAATGAAAAGATCCATAGGTACATGTGCATACCAGTCATTCTGCTATTAAGAATAAAATTTAAAGCCTTTTTTTTCTGGCAGACTTCCCACTGCAAGTGTTTAATTTCTCCTCCCACCTGCTTCTCCTCAGGAATAATGTAATGAACTGAATAAGACATTTGCATTATTCGTATTTGCTATTTAACAAATTCTTGGGTACACAATTCAGAAAAATATCAGAAAGTAGTATTCTCTCTATTCCTAGCCTTCCATTAAAAAGTTTCCAAATGGAGATACTTGTTTCACAGTCATATGCTATTTCCTGCTTTTAGAGCCAGTGTTTTAACCCACCAAATCTGTTTTATTCCCATGACCATGTATCCTTATTCTAGCCAATAATCTTTGAAGCGGAACCTTTCTTTTTTAAATTCCATGTATATGAAATTTGCTACATATCCCTGTGTACCATAACAGCAATAGCTTAAAAGAATCCCTAGGAAGTCACTTAAGTGAAACTCCCTCATAAATTTAGATCAGCTATCTCTAGCTAAATTACATTTTGCAAGGAGTTCCTCACCAAATCCTGCAAAATTGTTTCCCTTATTCACCCCACAACTCATGTTAGGTTAATAGGTTTTTAATTGCTTGCTGTATCTCATCTCTCTTTTGTGAATAATGCTGCCAATTTCCTGTTCTCAGAAGTGAAACAAGTTGTAAGCTACGGTGTAGCTATACTGAGGATGATATGGTAATTACAGCAAAGCAGTAAAAATGTATGATCAAGAGAGCAGCTACATTCCCTGAAATTTATAATCACAATGCAAGTGAAAGATAAAAGTTAAAAATGGTATTGATAAAGCATTATTTGAGGTTCAGATGCTGTCACTCCATTTTAAAAGGTACTAACCCAGACTTGGCAGAAGCCTTACTTGCTGGGAAGGGTCACACTCAGGCACCACGTACATAAGTTTGCAGGGTTTGTCATGTACAACACCAGGGAAAATCAGGCTTGACTATTAGTGGACTTGCATAGAGGCTGGTGTCCTGTACCTTTTCTGTCAACGTTGCTGGCTGCTGCCCTGGCTGTAACTCAAGTTCAGGTAGTAACAAAAGCTTAAGTAAAGCCAATCTGAGCCCATCTGCTGTTGGACTGAGCTGAAGCATCCTCCATCTCTCCTGTCCCCTTTCCACCCATACCACAGAACCATGAGATCGGTTGAACAGTAAGCAGCCTTTGGATTTGCTCCAGAGGCTGGTCTGAATCCATACCTGAGTGTGAACTTGATTGGAAAGAACAGGCTTCACTCTCTCATGTAGCTGCCAAGGCAGATACATGGCCATGGCTGTTGCCAAGGGCTTCTCCAACTGTAGGGTCTGTTTGAGGTCTCCAGCTCTCGCACAAGAGTGCCATATGATTAGTATTTGTGGAAGATTGTCCTGTGCATGTGCTAGCGGGAGGGTAGTTTCCAATTGCTCAGTCCATAAGAAAGGAAGTAAAATTGAAAAACTGTGCCTACTTTGCTTAATATGAATGCTATTTCAACTGCATTTTATGATGATCTGAATGACAAGAAGATGTCTAATTAAAAAGACGTAAAATGTGAGGCTTTTCCGTTTCAGGCCAAAATTTCTAAGTTCAGTTGCCTCATAGAAGTTATTCTGATAAGGATCATTATAAACTGCTGTTGCATTCCTATAGAAATTAAAATATTAGCATTCATGCTGAAAACAGAAATTCTAGAAAATATTCCTAATGTGCAGGAGAAATATCCTTCTAAGAATCTGCTATCATTTTCAAAATACTTCTAGGCTAACAAAACCAGTGTCCCTTAATTTCAGCAACTCAATAAATGTGGGGTCAAAACAGTCTCTTGTACAAAGGAAGACTATTAAACGGCAGAGGGAAGGCTCAATGCAATTCACTTCCATTGGTCAAGTCTATAGGGAAAAGAAAAAATGCCAAATTCAATTTACTTTATTATGTTGGGAAAAATAATGCTTCTCTTTAAAAAGCCCAGATTCAATTATAAATATAAGCAATTATATTGCATTTTGCAGAAGGTCATGCATACAAGAAAGAGGCACATGGAATTGTTTCAAGAGTTAAATCAGAAATTTCAGACGCTGGACAGATTTCGGGATGTACCAAAATCAGGCAGTATGGTAAGTTTTCCTTCTTAGATATTTAAAATATGTTGGATCTTTATCAACAACAATGAAGAAGAGTCTTTTGAATTCAGCAAGAAGTCCTCACTCTACGCTACCTTTAGATAGCCTCAGATATTAGAAAAAAGGATAGTTTCAGTAATCTAACCTATGACAAGTCTCATTAGGTTTTACAACTAGACCATAACAAAGTCACTGACATCATTACAGATGACAAGTAATTGGACTGTAGGGAACACATTTCAGATTTGTCTGTTTGTGTCTACTGAGTCTAAAGGACTTTATTCAGAGAAAGCAGATCACTAATGTAATTTCGCCAGTAGGGCTTTTCCTCTAGCTAGGGAACCAGATATTAAATTAGTTACTACAAACAAGTCCATATAGATTCACCTATACGTGAGACCGTCCAGAAAGTGCACAGGGTCTCTGTAATGTTGTGTCTTTTCCATAATAGGCTTATAAATATTTACCGTAGGAAAAGCAAAAATTAAATCATCCTGAGTTGACTCTGCTGTCATCATAATTCAAATTTATACACACACATTCATACACACATGCATAACACTCTGACTACATCTGATAATGAGAGCAAGGAAATAGTTGATTCTGCCTAATTAAAACAGCTAATTTAGTGTGACATATTTGTTAGCAGTAATATTATGATTAGCAATAATTTTAGATATAATTTTATAATGTGAAAATTGTATATTAAATAGAACTGAGCTAGAATCATTGTATTCTGTAACTTTTTCAGAAGAGCTGCTCTCAGACATGAAGAAGAGGTATTAAGCAGATGTGGGGCCAATGGATTTACATCATCTTAATCCAGCAGAAATTTGGCCCTGACTCTTTGATGAACCTTTAGCTGTGATACGTGTTATTCTGCACCCACTTCTCACACACTCTCCCTTCTGAGATTTGTTGACATGTAAAGTCTGCATTCACCTCCCTGTTTGAGATTTACTGTCCATGTAAAGCTTGAAATAATGCAAAATCTCAAAGGGAATCTCAGAGGAAGAGTTGTATTTACTGTTTTGCATCAGTGCTATGTTTTTGAAAGGTGTGCTAATAAAAGCTGCCTAGAGGAATGGTCTATCTGTAAGACAGTCAGAGAGTGATCCAGGTACCTAAATATAGGCATCTCAGGCTATTTTAGACAGCCTCAGGTGTCTTACTCTACAGCAGTGTACAGGCATTGATGACACAGGAATCAAAGGAGACCTGCACCTCTCATGAAAGATTGTTGGAGATCAGATAAAAAATTGAAAAGTATCTAAAATGGTGCAAAAATATTACGTTTTGGCAACTAAGTCCCACCAAACCTGTTACAGCAGAAATCACTAATTAAATTGGTCTTAGACCATAATGTCTTTTACCCTGTAAAACTTAGCATTAAAAAAAAAAAAAAAATCAGGGGATGCAGTCAAAATAACCGGCTTTCAGCCTGTTAATCCTAATATACATGAGCTCATCAGTCTTTGAAGCAAGGTAGATCTCACAGCATTTTCAAGGGCTAGGTTTCTGTGGTTCTCTCATGCACCTGCCCCAGTCTAAACCCCAACTGGCTGTCTCTGTTTCAAATCACTCCATATTTCAGGCAGCAAGTTCTTCTCAATTCCCTTCTCTTCTCCCACTTCTCTACATAACCTCTGTTAAGAAGATGGCTATCGGTACTGGATCACTCAGCCATTCCTCACGTGCATTGGTTCTTGTGAAAGACAGGGCTTAGCTGGCAGCTCAGGTGAGGAGCCTGCCAAAGTGCTGGTTGTTCACAGAGAAAGAGTCTCAACGGTGCCCAACACCCGCCAGCCTGGCTCCCTGCAAAGTCGTTTCCCCTCTCTGGCTTCTCTGTCGTCTCATGAGAGCACGTTAGCGAACAGCCTTATAAACAGAAAACAGATTATTTCATCCTTGTTTTTAATTCTTCTTTTTTCTCTGGTCTTCAGGAGAACTCAGCACCAAACAAGGCTCCATGGGACACTTTCAAAACCACAGGCGACTACCCACACTATACAACGATAAATGTATTGGACACAGAGGCAAAAGATGCTTTAGAACTCAGACCAGCAGAATGGGAGAAGTGTCTGAACTTGCCTTTAGATGTGCAAGAAGGTGACTTTCAAACAGAAGTTTAACAAACACAAAAACAAACTGAACAAAACAAAAACAAAAGGAAACAAAACAAAAAATCATTGCACTGACAATAAAGAGACTTTGGGAATCCTGACGCTCCTGTCTGAACATTGTGACTACTTTATGTCAGGCTCTTCCTGTGCCAAATGTCAGTGGTTTTTTTCGTACAGTATATTCCCACTAGTGCGGCTAGTGGAGAACCAGGTGTACAATTCTTACCATCGTGTGTTGTAAGTACCCGTGGAATGGATTTGTAAGGTAATCTTTATAGATAAACCTCAAGCAACGATTCATGTTGTAACAGCTTCATTTGGTTTAGTTTTCAAAAAACTTCACCATGAAGCACAATGTATATATTTATGCAGTTTTTAAAGTTTATAACAGTCTGTTTGGCCATTACTACACTTTTTACTTTATAATATAAAAGCAAAGGTTTTGTCATTAAATGAATGTCTGTTGAGCTACATTCTTCATTGCTTTAAATGCAATAAAGTAATAATCTCACTTTTATATGAATAATATATTTCACATCTTTATTATTGCAGTTTTCTCTGGAAAGCTCAGAGTAGCTTTCTCTGCTGCAGCTGTGTATAAAATATTTAAAATGTTGTATGGTGTAAATAAACCTTTGTCTACATATCAGTTTCTTAGTGCATTTTATTCTGTATTTGTTTATCTTAAATTTGCATATTTATAAAGTTTTCTTTAAAAATACACATATTGAATATGTATTTGGAGTTTTAATAGTATGTTGTTCTAGCTCCTGCAAGGAGTTTCTAAAGCATATTAGTAGGTTTGTATAGCCATTCTGCCTTTCCCAAGGTATTCTTTTGTGACAATGTACCATATAAATTGGACTTGCTAGAGTACTATTACAATTGTTCTGTTTTATAATAATTTTTTACTTGTTGCAGAAAAGTTAAGTTTTGATGCACAGCACCCAAGCAAAATGTTGATTTAGAATCATTACATCTTGTGCATGGTCTTGTTGCTGTATAACAACAAGAAAGACTTTAAAGATAAAAAATTCTGAAGTATTTTAGACCCCAAAAAAGTGAGTGTGTTTCATACTATCAATCAAGAGCAAAGCACGATTTATGTTGAAAATACAGTTAAACAATTAGCAATAGAAAGGCTAAATGCCCCTTTCCATGCTTAGAACCAAAACAAGATCTTCAAAATCTCTCCTCATCTACAGCATAGCTGTGGGGGGTGGGAATGGGAAGATATCTCAAATCTTCAGATGCTGTATTTCTAGAAAAAAGCTCCCAAAACTATTTTCGTTCCTGCTGTCTGGAATTGAATATGCTGCACCCTACTAGCTGGAGAGCTCTTAGAGAGGAAGAAAACATGACCGCCAATCTGCTTAGGAAGAAAAAACTACTAGAGGCTTGCCAATGACAACTTAACCCAGAGCGTTGGTAGAAGTAGATCATCATCCACATGTTGAGAGAAAAGTACTTAGGATCAACCTTAAGACTAAATTTCAGGAAAGCATTTCAGTCTGTAAATTAGTTTTTCCAGGCCATAATAAGGTACTTAAGTCACAAAAAGGAGCCTGACTTTGCCTACCCTGAGTGAGCATCTCATGCAGAATGCAGACTTCTCTGATCTAATGCTTCAGCATCTAAATATTTACACGATTACAAAATAACTAGCTACCAGGCTGGTATCAAGTCCATTAAGTGGTTTAGGTGCCTGTAAGTTAGATGATGTAGTATTCAATATTGCAATACATCAATCAATCAGAACTGCCCCTTTATCAAGAAGCTGATGCAAGATGATGCTGGCAAGGCTGGTGCACTCTGAGATCAGATAGTGCACCAAAAACCTCTCTCCTTGTTTTACATCAAGCTCTAGTCTATTTTTTTCCCCCTTTAGATAAAGATAGAATAGAAACTGCACATTTTTTAAGGATTTCATCCAGTACAGCAGGCATCTCTCAAGAACAGCATGTTTTACAATATTCCTTATTTTTGAGACCAAATCAGGAAGCTTAGTCCCCTGAATCCAGATATAAGCCTTAGCATTCTCCTTGGTTGATCTAACATACAAATCTAGAGCACCTCAGTATTTCAAAAACTATAGTGCATATTATTTGCATAAGCTTTCCATCACCTAACTCTTGTTCAATAACGATCTAGTTACAATTGCAGAAAGCTTAGGGCAGGCTGCAAACTGACTCAGGAAACATGATAAATAAGTCTATGCTCAATACACTGCTGACCCAGTTGTGCTGTTATTAATAACTTAGTTGATTCAGGTTTAGCATTAGCCTAGGTGCTTATGTGCCACCCAGCACTCACAGATGTGCTTTCAGTGTATGAGCAGCAATGTTCAGTGCCTCTCTATTTATAGCTTGTGCTGCCCTGCCCAGAAAGTGCTAGACCTTTTAATTTTCCTATATATTTCTTATTTTAAAATATTAAGAACATGTGTATTAAGAATCCAGTGTATTTGCTACTGATTTGACTGCTTCATATTAAAGTAGAGTTTGTTTTCTGTAAGAAAGACACTGCATGTACTTTCAGTTTGCTGCTTAATGCCTCTGAAATGATGCAAAACAGACTGAACCCAGCAGGAGAGTACAAACTCGTATGCACTGGCTTAAATGCTGGTAGTGCAAGATGAAATGTTTGGCATTATATTATATGCAAAAAATTTGAGTGAGAACTTCCCACATTATACTAGTCACAGAGATGACAGGGGGCTCTGCTTTTGCCTGACAGGGTGGGCTGGTGACACTCGATGTGCCCTGTGCTACCTTACCTGGCCTCTAGCTGCAGTTACAGAAAGGTTCGAGTGCTTGAGGTTTCAGCTAACCAACAGTGCTGCATCTGGCATCAGAATATGTTGAGGCAGTTGAGCTCAGCCTAGAGTTTACCTTGATCCAATTTAAAATGCATGTTCCCTAGACATATATAGAAAAACCTAATACATTATTTGGGAAAGGCCTCATTTTCTCAACAGTTTAAATACAGATTAGTAATCATATAAGACCATTTGCAGTTCCTCTATCTCAGCCTTCCTTTTAAATACATATACAAAGATATTTTTCTGGCAAGTCAATGCTAAACAAAATATGGCCTGGACTCTGAGTGTAATGTATACAGAAAATCTAGCTGAGCAGACATAGATCATTCAGCAGTTGAAAATATCCAGGATTTCACATCCAAGGCCGTGAAAAGTGGTTTGATGATGCTGACATAAAAGCATGAACAAATTTATTGCTTCATGGAATCTTGCCAATATGATGTTATTTAACCCAGAATCTTCTCAGGAGGTAAACTCTGAATTAGTCATTATTGAACTTCAGCTCATACTCAGCAGACATAGATCATTCAGCAGTTGAAAATATCCAGGATTTCACATCCAAGGCCGTGAAAAGTGGTTTGATGATGCTGACATAAAAGCATGAACAAATTTATTGCTTCATGGAATCTTGCCAATATGATGTTATTTAACCCAGAATCTTCTCAGGAGGTAAACTCTGAATTAGTCATTATTGAACTTCAGCTCATACTCTGCAAAATCTCTTGGAAACTAGAAGAAGGAGGGAGAGACTAAGTGCTGCTAAAAGGCATGAGAGGGAAAATAGCAGTGCTGCCATGCTAACATACCTTTGGAGTGCCATGGGCTTAATGTTGGCATGTATGTAATGCTAATGACTCCTTGTGATGAAGATCTAGGACAAAGCTGTAACAAAAGACACAAAAAGACAAGGATCTTTTCCATTTCTTTCACTACTGCCTCTGAATTTTTTCATAATCAATGAAACAGTGCTCTTCTCTGGGAAACATTGTCCTGACACTCCTCCTGTAAGAACATCATTTGCTTCTATGATGATAAGACATAAATCATCCAATATTGTTTTACACAGGATTTAACTGGCATAGTTTCTTTTAAAAACAAACAAAGGCCCAACCAAACAAAAAACCCCAAGGCCTGAGCTGCACCAGGTGAAATATTCTCTGATGCTTTGCCTTGTCTCCGTTTCCCATAGTTGCTAGGCAATGTTGTACTTAGCAGATTTAACAAAAGGTCTGCCTCCCGCTTGGAAGCAGGCATCCATCTGTCACAGCACCAGCAGTGTGCTTTCCATCGGGTTATGAAAAAGGGTATGTAAATCTCTGTTAGCAATCAGCAGATGGAGACATTGTGTATTGATAGTGGACTTCCAGTTCCTCAGGCATTAACTCGAGGCTGTGCTGTATCGCTGGATAAGTCACAAGAAGCAGTTTGTATGATAAAATGTTATTTTCCTCTCTTGAAAAGCGTTATAGGGCTCTCTTGTACAATCAAGCCCATTCTGATGTGCTGAGGGAAGTAAATAGAGAGGTATCCAGTTGAAATTGTGCTTGGGGAGCTGTGATTCATTTAGAGCCAGGTCTCAACCAGTGTAATCTTGTGATGTTTTCTACTTACTTTTCTAGAAACATCTTTCTTTGTCAGGAAAGCAAAAGGGCCTCACTAAGAAAAATTCAATTGCTGACAAGATAGGCAAGACTACTAACCCTAGCACTCCCACTGAAATTTTCTGTCCATCAATTACAATTGTAAGGTAAAGAACGAGCCATCTATCTGTTTTTGACAAAATTTTCTCTTGGATAGGATGCATTGGACCATTCTGTGGCAAGAGTTATTCAGATTAAGTACACTACATTACTGCTCCTCTTGTTTGTTCTGAACTATTTTAGTTTTAAAACTCATTATTTCTTATAAGGAAGAGTTAATAACTTAGCAATCCAACTTCGTCTCTTGACTATAAAGGCTTCTGCTGTAGGCCCCCTTCCTATGTGTTCCAAGAATGATGTTCACTCACTTGCTGACTCTCTTTAAAACTGAGAATGGGCACCTGAGCCAGGAAACAGGTTGAGAGTGGGAACCAGATGATCTTTAAGGTCCCTTCCAACACAAACCATTCTATGATTCTATGATTCTATGAGAGCTGCTGCTCAAGACTGTTCATCTCTATGACTAAGGGTTAAGTACCTGTACTTCAAGACAGGTGGGTTTTAAGAAACAGTTCTAGTCTCAGTGTTTTCTTGTTGATAAGCTTAGGTAGCTATTGAGAAGTCCAGCTGGAGATGTCTATCTTTTTGCAAGCATTGTGTAAGCAATGTGGCTTGTTCAACATATGCAGTCAACCTTAGGGAACAGGCGTCTAAACCTTACATGATGCAATGCTGACCATCAAAAAATCTGTGTTCTTTTGTGGATCAAATCCTTAGAGGTTGAAATACTTTTAAAACTATGGTTCTCAGAATCCAATTTTAAGAACAGCAACAAGCTAGTGGGGTTTTTTCCCATCATCAATTCAATGATTTATTGCATTACGTTCCTAGACTCTTGACTCAGGAAATTTCAAAAGGTGATGCCTGAAGGACCTCAGAGCATAAAAAAGAAAATGGAATTGATTAGTATGTATGTTCAATTTCTTATTTGGTGTCTCCTTGGACCTAAACACTTCATTTCCTGCTCAAGAACTCTGTATTAGGAAAGTATTTTCAGAGCTGGTTTTAGTAATCAGGTTCTTAAATCACTAAGATTTAGCTATGGTTTCTAAAGACAGATAGGTAGAATCCATTCTATTTAATACAGAATTCTAACTAAAACACTGTCTTGCCAATATGTCAA